AATATTACTCATCTCCAGTTACTGATATTAATAGGACCAACACAGTGTGACAGACCTCCTCACATCTCTCAGTCCTACAGAGAACTTCGCATAAATCCCCATGGTCACAACATCCGTTCACGACCACTTACGGCTGCTTTCCAACGGTGGCATAAATCGCTAACAAAAACTGCCTTACCCCTACGGAAATACAGATTCACAATGGCAGAAACTGTACCATGAGTATAAATAACTCCACGCAGGGTCCCAGACAACGAGTTGGACCCACAAATTCACCCAGAACAAACGAGACGAGCCATCCGTTCAAACGCCACACCTCCTCCAGTCGCTGGTACCCAAGTAAGCTCGTGGCCCGCTTTACCTGGGATGCCCCGCTCACCGAGGGCTAAGTCCCTGGCCATCCTGCACTCCCATTTTTGCCTTCGCTGAGAACCTTTTAATTCACCCTCAACCTCACCAAACACACCAGAGCCGCCAGGCTCGCCCAAGCCGGGACGGCTCCCTACGGCAAAGGCTAGCTCTCCAGGTGGGCGTCGGAAAAGCGCCTCTGACAGCTGCGCCGAGTTGCATCCTGGGAGCCTTCTGGAGGACCCCGTCGCCAGCGGAGGACTACATTTCCCAGAAGTCTCCGGGCACAGGCCGGTTCAGGAAGAGTCCAGGGTGCCTGTGGAGAGCGTTTGGGACAGCGGGGCTCCCATAAGCTTCTGGGCCCAAACTAGCCTCGGTCTCTGGGTTCCTTTCCGTTGTCCCCGAGTTCTTGGACTCTGCGCGGGGAGTTGGTCGCGTGCCAAACAGTCGTCAGCGCCGGCCGAGGGTGGGGGGCTCAACAGACTTCATCGAAGCGGGACTGGAACGGGCAGCGACGGTTGGGTGACGCCGGGAGGCGGTTGAGGTGAGGCGGCCCCTCGGGCACCGGGCCAGTTGTGTCGGGAGCCACAAGGCTGAGTGAGAAGGACGGCGCGGGACAGGCGGCGATACAGGGCGCGGCCTGTCTCGGTAACAGGGTGATGGGGTGCGGGGCCTTTATTTGGAGGTGCGGTTGGCTTTGGCTGTGGGCTCTCAGTTCCCCCCGGAGTCAAGCATGGCCAACTCCAAGGCTACGCGGGCCAAATAAGTTGTAAGTTTATGTGGGCCGCAAAAAAACCCCAAAAGCTCCAATGTTCATAGGACGTAGGTGTATTTCGATAGAGACATGCTGAATGTAAAGGGCTGAAATAAATGAGCCGTCGCTAACATAAAATAATAGAACATCTTAATAAAAATTAATAATTTTTCTTGAACATTCACTTACCAGACACCAAATCACTGCACACATTAAGCGAATAAACCTATTTTTCTTGTTCTTTGAAAGCAAAATGTTTTCTGTTGCGCACACCAAACAAGTCAGTATAAGAGGAATGACATGGCCATCGACTGCTAAAATATTCGCTGCTAAAATATTCGCTGCTAAAATATTCGCTGCTAGTGTTGGTGGAGAGAAATGGTGCACCTGCATGCAAGGCGCATAAGGGAAAGGAATGCAACATGAATTTCAAACCCCTTCTTTAGTCTTTTCAAAAGGGAAAAACCTCCCTGGTATATAA